ATATTTTGGCCAGAGTGGAGGAGAATTATCCTTGTAAGTCTGGGTGCAGATGTAGCCATTTTGCAGGTCAAGAAGGCAGATGACCAGATGGAGGACACAAGAGTTCCCTGAGAAGCCCAGGTGGGCTGGAGGCCTGGGAGGATGGAGGGGCTCACCTTTCCGGTCCTGTGATTTAAGACAGCTCCTACCTCTGCAGATGTACAGGGGCCCCATGGACAAGAAATGGATAGTGGTGTGGATATTGTCCATGACGTGCACGGGGTGGTGTTGATAGAAGCGGCTTCCGGGGACATGCAGCCATGTCGTGGAGAAGACCGTGACCAGCAGCACGACGAGGGCCACGAGGCTGAGCTCCGAGGCTGCCACCTGCGCTATCCAGCGGGGGCTGTGCGTGATTCTCCATCGCAAGGGCAGCACCGAGCTCCGGCGCAGGGTCACGGAGCGCCTGTGACAGCCCAGAGGAGAGACAGAGGGCTGCACCTCTCCTTTTGCTCAGGCCATGTCACCACCCCCATCCTGCCTCCCAGGCCTCCCCTTCCTTCCCAGGCCTCAGGTCTTGGTTCCCTTCTCCTTCGGACCCCTGGAGTACTCCCCTGCCTCAGTCAGCAGCACCCTTCTCTCCTTCCCCCCTTCGGTGCTGAGCTCACTTGTCATTCACCTCCTCGATGCTTTCATCAGTTGAATACGTTTCCATCATAGGCTTGAGGTCTGGGAAAGAGTAGGAGGCTGCTGAGCTCCACAACTAAGAAAAAACTGGCGCCAACTCGCTCAGCAGCCGGACAGGGCCCAACCGCCAGAGACTGTTCCTGGGGGGCAGGGGGGGGGGCTCAGTTCCAACTCCTCCTCAGAACTTTGCTCTTGGGGGTTGGGGAGATGGCTCAGTGGAATAAGCGCTTCCCTGGCAAGGGCAAGGGCCTGAGTTCAATCCTCAGTTCCGCCAAAAAAAAAAAAGAACTTTGCTCTTGCAGACCCAGCCCAGAACTGTGGGTCCAGCCCTTTGCTCCAGTTTCTGTCTCCCTCTCCCTAGGGCAATGAGCTCTGAGGGTTCCTTGGTTATTTGAGACAGGTCTCACTATGCAGTTCAGGCTGGTCTTGAACTCACTATGTAGTCCAGGTTGGCTTCAAAATCACAGCAAGCCTCCTGCCTCAGCCTCTTAAGTGCTGGGATTACAGGCACGTACCACCATGCCCAGTCATAATCACCGGCTCAGCGTGCCCCAGGGGCAGGGCCAACACGGCACACCAGAGATGGAATCCCAGCCACTGGGCTCTGCCTAAGCAGGCGCTTTAGTCCACTGAGCTATCTGGCTGACCCCAGGCCAGATACTTTTTACCCTGCCAGAGACAAGTGTCAGCCTTAGAGCAACCAGCCCTGGTCAAGGTTCCAAGGCCAAGAGGTTGAATGCTGAAGGTGGCAGGGCAGGTATGTTGCAGAAGAGCCAGTACTGGACCTCTTAGGAAGTCCATTCATACAGAGCCAGAGCTCATCAGGATTGTGTTTCCTTCCTAGTTTTTCCTGGAGCCTCTAAGGGTTTCTATTAATAACAAGCAGTTCTTGCAGCAACATGGAAGAATCCTGGAAATACGACATTTCCTGAAGGATGTAACTCCTGGAAGATTACACTACAAAGATGGTACCATTTCATATGGAGCTCATAAACAAGAAACAAAGCATTCATTTTATGATTGCATGATAATTTTTTTTAAAAAAGCAGTGAAGTAATAAACACAAACTATCATATGGTGGTGTTATGGTTTGTGTCTAGTTGTTCCCCCAAAGCCTCATGCAGTCATGGAGACAACTTCTGGAGTTTGTGATTAATCCATGATCCAGTGCTGGTGTTATGGGTGTGAGCGCTGTTGGGATTACAGGAATAAGTGCTGCTGGGATTATGGGTGTAAGTGCTACACCTAGCCTCGGGCAGATAGTCTAAAAGCAATGTAAGGGTGACAGTCTTGCTCTCTGCTGCCATCATGGCCGCAGGTCCTCCCTTTTGGCTCTTGCTATTCTGCTGTTTTCTGCCACCATGAACTGCTGCCCTCTGCCATGTGCCACTCTGCCTTAGGGCTAGCTGAACATGAACTGAAAGCTTCACAAACTGTGAATTAAATAAACCTTGCCTTCCTTAATTTTGGGTGTCAGGTACTTTGTCCCAACGATGAAAGAAAAGTAACTAAGACAGGTGGTGGGGCAGAAAGGGTTTCACTGGCACATACATGTCACCGATTACAGTCTAATTCCTATATTTGGATATTATAATATCCAATATAACTTAGATATTATAATCATGTCTATGTTTATATAGTATAACAGAGATTTCATGTAATCCACAAAATGCATCAAACATTGTTTTTCAAGATGCAATCAAAAATAGTTCATGAAAGGAAATATCATCCTAGTGATTATGAGCTTGGCAATGGGAGGGATTTATACAGCCACAAAATATAAGGTAAACAGTGTCCACTGGATTTCTTTTTTTTTTTTTTTAAATTTTGTTTATTTTTTTTTTTGTGTGTGTGTGTGTGTGTGGCCAGCTCAGCCCGCCAGGGGGCGCGGCTGGCTGGCATGTGGTGCTGGGGGATTGAACCGCGGTCCCTGTGCTTTGCCAAGCTTGTTCTAAGTAGGTGCTTTAGACCACTGAGCCATCTCTCCAGCCCCTGTCCACTGTATTTCAATGCAGTGTCAACAGATGGACAAAGCGCGGAAGACTTGATCACAGCTGTAAAAGTAAACGTGGCAGCCTGATGGTGCCCACGCAAGACCCTAGAAGAGGTAAACTGGAAAGCGGAAGGAGGACAAAATGCTGGACACCAAAATTAAAGAAGGAAGATTTATTTAGCTCTGAGAGACAGAGAGAGAGAGGACTCAAAATGTGGAGACAGTGGCAAAGGCAACAGGGCCAGGAATAACAGTGTCCATGGCACTGTCACCACCATGGCTTCATGCTGGGCTGCAGTGACAGTCATGCCTACCAGCCCGATCTGCTGGTGTTCTGGCGGTAGCTTGCTTCTCCTGGTCTCCCCCACACACACACACTGGGGATTGAACTCATGCTCTTGCACTTGCCAAGGAAGCGCTTATTCCACTGAGCCATCTCCCCAGCCCTGCTTTTCCTTATTTTTGTAGTTCGCATTTCCCAGCTGTCCTGGTGTGCAGTGATTACTCAACAGCATCCCCATACTCTTCTAAAGTCACCAGAATGGTGTTCTGTTGCTTCTAACCACAGTCCTGAGCGATAGTGTTCCCCAGCTTTCTGTTACCTAACAAGTACCTGAGATTGTCAATTTATAAGAGAAAAGGTTTTGGCCGGGGAGGAGATGGCTCAGTGGAATAAGTGCTTCCCTGGCAAGCACCAGGGTCTGAGTTCAATCCCCGGTCCTGCCAAAAAAAAAAAAAAAAAAAAAGAGAGAGAAAGTTTATTTTGGCTCAAAGTATTAGAGGTTATAGGACCTGCCACTTCGCACTGTAGTGGTCAACAGGCCAGGAGCACAGCCAGAACAGAACGTTCACCTAATGGCCTGAAGGAAAAAAAGAAAGGAAGGGACAAGCACCCTATTGATACAGGGAGAAAAACTGGTCTCAGGTGGGTGACCTCCAAACAATATAGGGAACCTCCAAATGATATAGAGAAAAACGATCTCTGGACCTGACCTGCATGAGTTTGTGTTCTCTAAAACTGAAGAATGAATTTTAGGAACAAACGGAGGTTATGAGCTGAATATATTTATTGAGAGAAAGAAAGCTCCTGTCCCTAGAGAGGGACGGGGTGGGGGGGTGAGCAGGTAGTTACCCCGGGAAGCTGTCTCTTGCAGGGACTTTTATGGAGGAAAACCATGCGGTGAGGTGGGTCTAAGGTGGTGAGAAGACATGGGAACTTGCTTAGTTGGGCATGAGGTGGGACAAAACTATGGTCAACCAATGAGATTACAAGCACCATTGCTCAGGTAAAATTGATTAAATCCAGTATCAAATGGGAAAGCAAGTCATGTAGCAAGCGGGCATGAATACAGAACAGGGTCTCTTCCTGTTGGGGGTTGAGCTAGTGACTCATTTGGGCTCTTTCAAGTTGATTGATACTATTTAGGATATCAATCCCTAATGCCCATCCCTAGGGAAGTATGTAGCTGTGTTTCCTCTTTTTGTCTTTGTCTTAAGGTGTGGCCCATATGGAAGTGTCTGTCTCTTCCCAGTTGTAAAGTCACCTTGTCTTCCATCTTGTCTCCTTGAGGGCCTGACCCTGTCTTAACTGCCTATAATATTTCTATCTAATTCGGCTGCCTACAACACTATCACCCTTCAGGGATCCCCAGGAGCCCAGAGACCTTCCAATAGGCCCTACCTCTTTTTGTTGTTGTTTTGTTTTGTTTTTTCAGTACTAGGAATTGAACCCAGGCCTTCACACTAAGCGATACCCTCAACCCATTTTTACTTTTTTTTTTTTTTTTTTAACCCATTTTTACTTTTTGACAGGGTTTTACTAAATTGCTAAGTTGCCCAGGCTGGGATTGCATTTATGACCCTCCTCAGCCTCTGAAGGTGTTGGGATTACAGGCGGTGCCACTGCACCCAGCTTCAGCCCCTCAGCCCCTCCTTAGAAAGTTCAGCTACTCCCAGTAGGGCCACGGGGGGTGGGGGGGATGACGACACACGCAAGCCTTCACAGTATGAACTCTTGAGGGTGCCAAGATCCAACAGTAGCACTGGAGGGGGTGGGTGGGGAACACTTCCCCTGCTGCTCTGCTTCCTCCTTGTGCAGTGTTAGGAAGGAGCTCTTTACTCCCCATCCCCACTTGAATGTGAAGGGAATCCCTGGCCTCTTGCCCTACTCCAGGAACCTCCTCCAAAAGGATGGAGCACATCATCTGGCCAGTGATCTTAGCTTAGATAGCAAAGATGTCTTTTGCTGCTCAAGCTGTGCATTGTTTGTCATCTGTGGGTCTGTTTTGTTTATCTTTTATACTGAAGACTGAAGCCAGGACCTCCTTCACAGTGAGCTACATCCGCAGCTCTTATTGTGTTTGTTGTTGTTGTTTTGCAGAACCAGGGATTGAACTCATGCCCTTGTGCTTACCAGGCAAGTGCTTATTCTACTGAGCCATCACCATCTCCCCGGCCCCAAACATCAAGTTTAATTCAAAGAAAAAACCACTAGACACTGTCAGCAAGAATGACAGAGCAAACTAACTCTTGAAAAAGATCAGCACCTTGGTGATATATGTGTAGTAGAAAGCTAAAAGAAACACAAAATGCTACTTAACTTAAAATGTTATAAGGTTTTTGCAAATCTACTCATTTCATTGGTGACTAAATCCCCTGGCCATTTCTCAATATCAGTGTGTGTGCAGCCTTGTCCCCTGAAAGTCTGGTGCAGTTAAACAGCCCAATGTAGCCGCACAAGACAAATTCTCCATTTCAACCAACTCTTAGCAGAGAGGCAACTAGCACAACACCATCTCCCCAGACAAACAGCACTGGGATAGTTCATTTTGTTGATTTGTATATCTCCACATACATCTCTTCATCAATTTTTATAGTGGTTGTAATGGGTCAACTCACGTTTTAGATTATAAATGTAAATCTTGTGCTTTGTGTTGTAAATGTATACTCACCACTGTTCTAAGTTGTTTAGTAAATAGTAGCTGTTACTTGCTGTTTGCTAGATAAAATTCCTGCCTACCAATCCCTGTAAACAAAATTAGATTACAGAGATGGCTTCATAAGGAAACTGAATGGGATTTAACTTCTTGTAACCTTGGGCCATGCAAGGTTGCCTGCAGGTA